AAATATTTATTCAAGTCAAACTTGGCCATCTTAGGCCACTATTAAGGAACTAAGTGTTCTGATTCCAACCCAAATCAACCATCCCTGGAAAGCATAAAATAGTAAAAGCATATATGAGAAGTCTTATTTAGGGGAACGGGGATCTAAAAAGTAAAACAATCGATCTGGTCGTTACACAAGGAAGGTGAAGGGGATTAGTAGGATGGAAGAAGATTTGTACCATTGGAACTCAGAGAATAAAGAACCACCATCACTTTTTCCTTCGGTAGCCCTGGCAATGCATGATGAGGAGGAGCTATGGCATAAGAGGCTTGCATATTAAGGCAACTTTCTCTAGTTAGAAGTAGTATGAATAATAATAATAATAATAATAATAATAATAGTTCTTGTACTGTATGCCCGCTAGCCAAGCAAACAAGATTTTCTTTTCCTATAAGTCATAGCAGAGCTACAAAGCATTTTGACTTAGTACACGTAGATATCTGGGGTCCTTACAGGGTTCCCACCTTTGATGGCTGTAGGTATTTTATTAATTTGGTGGATGATTGTAGTAGAATGGTATGAGTGTTCCTTCTACATTTGAAGAGTGATGTTAGTACTGTCCTTAAGGAATTCCTACTACTTGTACAAACTCAGTTCAATGCATCAATAAAGGTTTTTAGAAGTGATAATGGCACTGAGTTCTTCAATTCTTTCTGCAAGGCTTTATTTAAAAATGCAGGGATCATACATTAGAGTTCCTGTGTTTATACACCCTAACAAAATAGGGTCGTTGAAGGAAAACACAAGCATATCCTTGAGGTAGCCAAGGCCCTTAGGTTTCAGGAAGGATTGCCTTTGAGATTTTGGGTAATCTGTGTTATCAATGTTGTATACCTCATCAATAGGATACCATCTCCACTTTTGGGCAACAAGTCACCTTTTGAAGTTTTCTATGGGAGACAACCAAACTTGAATCACCTGAGAGTCATAGGGAGCCTTTGTTATGCTACTATGACTGGTGTCAATGGAGACAAGTTTGGACCCAGAGGTGAAACAACAGTTCATATGGGGTATTCTAGTACACAAAAGGGATACAAACATTATAGTCTCTCACCCAAGGTTTTCTTCATCTGCAGAGATGTTACTTTTAAGGAGGATGTTTTTCCTTTCAAATCTTCTCAGACATCAGATACATACATGATTCCTTCTTGTCCTGCACATGTGACACCTGGGGACCTTCATTCAGTTCCACTATCTACTCAAGATGGTTCTCCTGCACAAGTGCCCAGTTTTGATCAAGGATCCTTCACTAATCAACTAGGTTCACCTGTCCATGGACCTCATACTGATATACAGACCACCATTGAAACCAACAGTCTTATGCTCCCATCAGTAGAACCTCCCTCATATTTTTTAGGCTCATCAGCGGGACATTCTTCACAACCACCTATTTCTTCACCTACTAGCTCACCTGTTGTTCCTTATCCACAGCCCAGAAGGATAGCTAGAACTTTTAGACCTCCTGGATGGTTGAATGACTTTGTGCATGGCCCCTTGCCTAGTGATGACACAACAGCCTCCTACCTATACCCTATGTCTGATTACATGTCCTACACATCTCTTTCAGGTTCTTACCTTGATTCCATTTGCAGGTATTCTGTCATCAAAGAGCCTAAGTCTTATTCAGAGGCAGTATAGGATGAACATTGGGTTGCAGCTATGAAACAGGAGATTCAAGCCTTACTTGACAATCAAACTTGGTCCTTGGTGGACTTACCTGCTGGTAAGGGGGCCATAGGTTGTAAGTGGATTTACAAGGTAAAATACAATGCAAAGGGGGAGGTAGAAAGGTATAAGGCTCGTTTGGTGGCAAAGGGGTATACACAACAGGAGGGGCTGGACTACCAGAAAACCTTCTCTCATGTGGTGAAGATGGTCACAGTTAGAGTTGTTCTTTCCATGGCAGCCATGTATGGTTGGCATTTTCACCAGATAGATGTCTTCAATGCTTTTTTGCAAGGGCATTTGATGGAGGATGTGTACATGGTGCAATCTCCAGATTTTGCTAGCTAGGGGGAGCTGTCTAAGGTGTGTAAATTGCAAAAGTCCCTGTTTGGCCTGAAGCAGGCATCCAGATAGTAGAATTTGAAGCTATCTGAGGCTCTTCTGAATTCTGGCTTCTCCTAGAGTCACTACAATTATTCTCTTTTCACTAGGAAAGTTGATGGTTATACTGTGATTATTCTTGTAAATGTGGATGATCTTTTGATCACTGGTTCTTTTGCTTCCCTAATTCAGGACACTAAGGCCTTACTTCAGCATCATTTCAAGATCAAGGACCTGGGGGAGATGAAGTACTTCTCTGGTCTTGAAATACTGGAAGTAAGGCTGGCATTCTATTTGTTAAAGGAAGTTTGCTTTGGATTTAATTTTAGAGCTAGGATTGGCAGGATCCAACCTGTTAGCACACCCTTGGAGGTAAATCAGAGACTCACAAGTGAGGCATTTGACAGAGGACTTGCAGCTGATGCTATAGAGATAGATGAGGCACTGAAAGATGCCACACGCTATCAGAAATTAGTGGCAAAGCTCTTATATCTCACGATGACTAGGCCTGACATGGCCTATGCAACACAAAATTTGAGCCAATTCATGCACTAACCCAAGAAGTCACACATGGAGGCAGCCATAATGGTGGTAAAGTACCTTAAAAATGCACATGGTTTAGGGATTTTATTGTCTTCTAGAATGTCTAATGAGCTGATAGTGTTCTGTGATGCTGATTGGATCATTTGTCCCATGACAAGGAAGTCAATCAGTGGTTTTGTTGTAAGATTGGAGACTCCTTACTTTCATGGAAATTAAAGAAGCAAAGTACTATATCAAGAATTTCAGCAGAAGCCGAGTACAAGAACATGGGAACATCACTTGCAGAAGTGGTTTGGCTTGTGGTAGGGCTGCTTATCGGGCGGATTGGGCGTTATTTACTCTTAACGGTTTGGCTTATCGGTTATCGGCTTTTAGATGTATTAATGCACTAGCCACCCGATAAGATATCGGGCGGATTGATATCGGTTTCGCTCTTATTGGGCGGTTATCGGGCGGTTTATCGGCCTAATTCAATCTATATTGCACATGACACAATTTACCAAATTTAGCGAGGGTCCAAAATTTGCTTCGCCATGCTTCAAATGTATGCTGATGTGGGTCAAATAATGGGATTTCTTGCTCTTGTTTTATAACTGCTCCAATTCTCTTTAGATGTCGCTCTAATTTCTAAACAATCCAAGAACACCTGCCGAAATGTGTGCGGACTAACGTTTTTTTTTACATGCAAGCAAACCTGCAGATGTATGTGTTAAACCCAATTTAACAGCAGATTCTACTTGTTAAACTATCTCTTGTTTGTTAAGTTTTGGTACTTCCACTGCACCTACTGGAGGTGGTAAGAATACGTGAAGCAATCAAGTAAACCGTTTTTGGTTTGAAAGGATTAAAAAGAATGCGCAAAGCAAGCAATTAAAATTTTTCTAATAGTAAATTAGTAATAGAGATAGAGTACTAAAGTGGAAGAAGGATTTTTGATTATTTAATATATCAATGGATAAAAATAAATTTTATATGTATATATATGTATATATATATATATATATATATATATATATATATATATATATATATATATTCTTAACGGGTTAACGGATTATCCGCTAAGAAAACTGAATAATCCGCCCCCAAACCGGTAAGTCGTTAATAAAAAAAATTCAATCCGTTCCCCGTCCGTTAACCCGATACCAATAAGCCACTAAGCTTCGGTTTCGGTTCGGTTTTGAACACCCCTAGCTTGTGGGGACTGTTTGGAGAACTGAATTTGCAAATTCAACTGCAAGTGAAGTTGTTTTGTGATAGTAGAGCAGCTCTTTAGATTGCAGCCAATCCAATTTATCATGAACGAACAAAGCACATAGAGATTGGATGCCATTTCATCAGAGAGAAGATACAAAAGGGGTTGATAGAAACAACACATGTGAAATCAGAGTTGCAGTTGGTAGACATTCTAACCAAAGGTCTCGGTCGAACACAACATGAGTTTTTTGTTGTCCAAGCTAGGGGTGTTCAACTTGTTCACACCACATAGCTTGAGGGGGAGTGTTGAAGGGAGTTGAGCTGTTGATGAGCTGGCAAGTTAGTTAGTCGGTTAGAGTTAGGAATAGTAATTAAGGAGTTAGTTATTTCTGTATAAAAGCATGTACCGTGTATTGAGAAATTAGAATAGTGAAAACATTTCCCAATTTCCAGAACTTTCTCTCTCTCTGTTGCCTTCGTCTCTCTTCTCCATTTTCCTCCATTAACAGAGCATTTGAGCTCTTAACAACCCAAAAAACAACTCTTTCAAAGCAAAAACAGAAAAGTTCTATTAAGAGTTCCTTTATATCCTTTGACTGCTTTAAACATTGAAGTGAAATCTCTAATCCATCATAATACCTGCAGTAGTTATAGCAAGCGCATGTCTTTCCAGTATGCATTTCATATCAAGAAAGTACAGAGATTTATAACATGTGAAAAGAGAAAATATGCAAATTCCTTTGTCAGGGCTGTAACAGGTTTTTCATCTAGACTGTAGTCTGTAGATTTCTGCTATCTGAAATACCAATCAGACACAGTAAAAAGATAGGTGCATACTTTCCTGCAAAATAGTTACTTATCTTGTTCTTCTCAGGCCATAATAAAAATGATAACACACTGCAGATCCTATCATTTTAACTAAAAACGGTAAATGAATTAGCCCAAAACATCATATACCCCATAGATGACCAATGACCTGCAAAACAAAGACCAGTGTAACATAACAATAATTTATATAGGTGACATTTTCAATCCATGGAATCAATCATCATGCCACTAAAAGCAGGCTGGAAATATTAACAAAATATCACACTAAATCCCGAGTTCGAAGAATACAAAGTGATGGAGAATAAAGAAATTGAACATCTCAACATCTGAAGCATGTAAGAAAATGTATGAATACGGATTAAACAAGAAACATCAGAAGTTTCTCTATAGTAATAATATTCCTTCAACCAAAACAGAAGAATGAAAGTGGATTGAAAATAATAAATAACAAAAGAAAGAGGAAAAGAACTCCTAAATAGATAAATTGAACTGCCTGTTCTGCTAGACAGCAAAGAAATGTCATTAACATAGTGTTTCATTTCCATACATTGAAAAGCATCACATTTTCCCTAACACAGCGTGAGAGAATAAAAGCTCAGATTTGGACAATGACTACACGTTATCAAGAGCTTGATAACACTTTACAGAGCAGCCAATTTTAAGATACAGAAAGTACTCTACTATTTCCTGCTCCAGAAAGAAGATGCAGCCGGAGCAGACCATACAAGGAGCTCTGCCACTTCACATACTGGCCTTTTATAAGTGAACCCTCAGGAACTGGAAGTCAGCTGAAGTATCACTTACGATCTTACTTTAGCAAGACGAGCCCTTAGTTCTTCTAGATCTTCCTCGTCATCAGCACCCTGCAAGAAATGCATATCACTTTATTTCATCATTGAAAAGATCAATTAAACTTCTATGCAGTGGATTATAGATGTGACATACCTCTGCATCTCCTAGTGCCTGGGCAGGTTGCTTTAACTTCTCCTTTCGGACTGCTTCAGGAAGTTGCGCAGCAGTCTCACCAGCAATTTCAGTTAAGACCCTGTCAACTTCTTCTTCAATCTCCTCTTCTATGTCTTCTGAATCCAATGCAGTGTCCACTGCATCATTCACAATTTCTTCAATGACACCAGCCTGCAACAACAGTAGAGAAAGAGTGATTATAATTTCCATTTCAGGCAGAAAGACACACACACACACACACACACCCCAAAAAAGTGGACGAGTTGATTCAAAAGTTAAGTCAAAGTGCAGAAGTTGTCCTCATTTTTTCATAGGGAGGCAGGCAAATCGATTTGAAAGGAAAGTCAAAGTGCAGAAGAAGAAAGAGTATAAAAAGAACAAAACATGATCCTGTCGGCGTCTTGAAGCTTAATAAACTATTTAAAATTCAGAATCATACAGATCCAAAAGTGATTCACCAACCAACAGAGAACTCAGACGTCTCTTTAGAGCTTAAAAATCCAATGCCAAATAGATACCTTGGTCATTTCTTTATTGAATTCCTGCATCGTAATAGCCATTTCTGGAGCCTTCATAAGATTATTAACAAGTTTCATGACTTCAGCACTCTTAGACAAATGCCCCACTGTGCGAGCAATAGCTGCAACAATGAATTAGAAAATCGTGAGATACTTGAAAATTTCAATATACAAATGAATAAAGTTAGCAAATTAATACATTCATCCAGCTTAAGCAATCAAAGTATGGTTGTCTAGCTGCAGTTTAAGGACAATTTAAACTGCTGCTACTTACTTATAGGACATTATGGAAACATGTAATGGGGCAGAAGGATTTCGATCAGAAGTTCTTAAAGACGATATCCAACTTTTAAAATGTATACGTGCAAACTCCATGGTTAACTCAATTTTGCAAGATATAGTAGCAAAATGTGAGCATCCAAAATCAGAACGTAGAAGCAAGAGGAAACAATCTCGAAAAGCGTTAGCCAAAGCTAGGCGTAAGATATTACAGGATTCTTCTTTCGTACTGGGATAAGGTTTAATGAAAATATGATAGACTTCAAATGTCTTATCGACACTAACAAAACTATCAGAAACTGATCTTCATTGAAAAGTTTCTTGGTAAAGCATAAACATAAGGCTTAACTTATTATCTTTAGTTACACAGAAGTCCAAATTCAAAAAAAAAATATCTTTACACATAAAGCACGTGAAATCCTCCCAATAATTATAACGAACTTACCAAAAGTCCATTCCAGAAACTAGAAGGCAAGAGAATAAGTTCATAACTAGGAACTGCTAAAGATATATCTTATTTCCATTTAGAACAAATGAAAGTTAAAGGTATACTGCCTGGCGCTACACATCCGACAGTTACTTCTGTCTCCTGTTTACATGTTCCAGACTTGCCGACTACATTTACTCATCAGTGGTATGCTACGGGATTACATATTAGTGATGCAGCTAGACTGTACTGATGTTGTAACACTATTCAATCTCCTCCACCATATATGGGATGAAATTAATGCATGACTCCATGTTTTGCTGACATTTTCTGGACCATTAAGATTTCCTGACCCTTTTAAGAGATCAATGGAAGTATTTCCTCCTTCCCTTTTGCTTCCATCAAGCTCTATCATCATTTTCTTCTTTTTGATGAAGTAAATGGTGTATTAATTAAAAGGCATCCAGAAGATGCAATGATTACAAAAGAAAAGGAGATATCAGCTCCAAGGAAAGACAAAAACCTATTACAATACTATAGAGCTGATAAACTCCAAGAAAAAGGTCAGGGTTATACACAGGGGTGTGATTCACCCAGCAAAAAAGTAAAACCAAACATCTAGGCTTGAGTTTGTGCCTGACAGTAAAACCAAGCATCTTTGATTCCTTTCTGTCCATATGCACCACAAAACATGTAACAAGTGAGGACGACCAAACATGTTCACTCTATCATCGTTTTCATAACCAACTACCATGACAGCTGAGGACCAAACAGGTAACAAGCAAACATGTTATAATTGGATAAAGAGATATGATTAGATAGAGAGATTAGTTAGAAGCTCCCTTTCCAATAATTTTCGAATAGTTCAGATAAAACATGGTGGTTGACAGCACTAGAAAGGGTACTGTATTCATCGCCATTGATGATATTCCTTCTATTGGGAACTTCAGATGATATGAAACAGTGGGAGATGTTCAGTTTCTCCTTTCAGCAGTGATGACTGTGAGGCATGCTTTATAAGATAATGACATTAGGAGGGAAGAGAAGAATGCAGTCAAACGTAAAATGTACAACCTTTATATCAACTCAAATATCAGGTTTCTAGTTTTGTTTACCAAAATATTTCTAATCATCCTATCCTCCTGACAAGAATGTTTCGCCTCTAGTCATAGGACACCAAAAGTATATTAACAATTGGGAGTCCTAATTCTAACTTCCGGACATCTACAAATCAAAAAGTAAACTTTTACCTCACAATTAACCCACATATCATTAGCTATGCATCTTGAAACTTCAACTCAACAAATTATGGAGTACAAGGTATATTCTCCTTGGGAGGGTGCAGAAGTACAACAGGACATTTAGTTTGAATTGAGGGCATATATAGGATCATAAAAGTGAAAAGTTCCTTAAACAAGAATACTTGCACCCAGGAAACTGAGAAACCCAGTGAATTTAACTACATCCTAAAATGTTAATGAGTCAGATAAAGGAGAACGCGTCAAGAATTATTGGTAATTCATTTTCAGAAGATACATACAGTGCTTCCAACAGTTTGCTCATCAAAGAGCTTAGAGGAGCAACTGCACAATTGTCAATAAATAATGACAAAATACAAGATGGAGTGAGAGCATGATCATACCGACACTTTCTCCAAGGTGCATAGATATCGAATTTAACTGTGCCTTGTTCTCGTACAATCGGTTCACAGTTCTTTTAGATCTCACAAGCTCTTTCGCTAGTGCCTATGATAAACACATAACACTGGTATATGAATAAGCAAAGGGAACATAAAAACATGAAAATAGAAGGCAACTAACTAATGATGATTATGCTGGGAAGCCCTAATATATTCAACATAGATAAAACAACTCCTTATTCCCAGGAACCAGAAAATAAAGTTTTGGCTATGACATAAACTACCAAATAAAGCCTCAAAGCAATCATCAGCAGAAGATTAAGTTAATAGCAAATGTATAAATTTCAACTATAAGTAGCAGTTTAAATTACCTTGGCAGAACCCATGTCATTTCGCTTTGCAGCTTCTTTAATTGATTTCTCTACATTCTTCTCCTCTCTCTGTATATCTGAACAATTAAAACCCCAAAATTACATGAAATTAACCAAACTCAGTTAAGATCCAATAATCATCAAACATTCAAATCATCAAAGAAAAAAACACAGTAATTTTTTACCTCGAATTTGGCGTTCGATATTTCGGCACTCTTGTCGGAGGCGACGTTGCCAATCTCTCAAAAGCTGTTGCGGATTCGGCTTCGGCTTCAATATATTCTTCATTTTCTCCATTTTTCCTTTTCCGAAGCTCCAAAAATCAAAGCCTTGACTAGAAGATCGAACAGCAATCAATCAAATTGCGTGTTTCTTTCGCTGATGATCGTCCAACTTCGAACCTAAAATAGCCCTTGCGATTTATTCTACGCTAAATTTGCAGAAAAGTGAAAAAGATAGAAATTTTTTCACCAAATTGACTTGGATGAGGACTCAAAGTCTGAAATATAGAATCAGAAAGGCGCGTAGGAGAGAAGCCGCCGTGAGAAAGGAAGTTTCCGTTCGTTATAGGAGTAGTTGAAATCTGACATGTCGGATTCCGAAGTTTCTATTTGTAGTTTGGTCCATGATTTCTCTTTTATATTTTTACATGCAGAAAAACAGCTTAATATTTTGGCGAAATGGTTTCCTGGCCACTTAAACTTGTAGGGCTTTTGAAAGCCCATACACGAACTTTCGATTTTCCCATTTGAACACTCCAACTTGACAAAATGGGTAATAATAAACATTTTTGACCGTTAACCATGCCTATGTGGAAGCACTATAGCTGTCATGGCTAAATTGTGTGCAAATCACGCTGCCAGGGCGCGTGGATAGTATTATTTTTACTTTAAAAAATTAGAATTAGAATAAAATATAACTAAAAAAGAAAAAGAAAAAAGAAAAAAAAGACTTTTCCAATTTTTTCATCTTCCCGCATTGGATTGCAAGACTTTTCCAAATTTTTTGAGCAGATTCAAAGACCAAATGAAAATTTACATTTCTGATGCTACGACCCACAATCACCGGGAAACCGGCTGCAGCAACCTGTTTTCACCTTCAAATAATTACACACAAACCCCCCACCTCCACCCCAAACCAAAAAAAAAAAAAGAAAAATCCACATTCAGGCAAACACACAAAGACTGCATATCGATAATTTCTTCTCCAGTCTCTGAAGCTCATCCACAACAAGTCTCTAAATTGAACTATGTCTTGCTGTAACAAAGTGGACCACAAGAAAATTCTAATGATCCAGTGTCAATAGAAAATGGTACTTCCTTTACGAGTCATTAGTTCAATCCCATGAGCAGAGATTGTAGGATCTTATTGCTGATCTTCATCTGACCTCCTGAGCTTTTCGTCGAACACCTTGCTCAACTGAACTACCTGAGCTTTTGGATTGTAAAATTAGAGGAATTGATCGGTACCCATATGAAATTGGAAGTGTAGGAGCATTCTCCTCATCAAGGCGAACATTTTGGTACCTTTCTTTTCCAATTTGGATACCTGGAACACCTTGCGCATTCATTTTTGCCTCGCCGGAGTTCTGCTGCTCGTCGGAGGGGATGATTCCCACGGTGGAATTGTCTAACACCTAATATGTTTCAGGCGTTGGTTTTTTTCCTTCTGATTTTGTATTTAAAAATGGGACCCACAAATAACACGTGGCAAATAATAAATGGCTTAGCATGATGTGCTGTACATGTCAGCGCAATTGATATACACGCTCTGGTGGATGTGTTTATTATTACCCATTTTGTCAAGTTGGAGTGTTCAAATGGGAAAATCGAAAGGTCGTGTATCGGCTTTCAAAAGCCCTACAAGTTTGAGTGGCCAGGAAGCCATTTCGCCTAATATTTTTAGCTATTTTCATTTTATCCTTTACTTATTCCTCAAAGTTTCTCTCTCCCCAAGCCAAAAGTCCTTCTTTTTTTCTTCAATAGAGTGCTATATTTTCTCAATTTGAGGTGTTTGACCAAATTTTTTTTGGGAAAAATAGCTAAGGGCGGCAAGTGGGCCGGATCGGGCCTCAAACGAGCCAAATGGGCCGGTCTCGCGGGCAGCGGTCCCGATTCCGGTACGGTCCCTAAATAAGCGATTCAAACGGTCCCGGGCTAAATGTACTTTTTGTGGGAAACAGCCCGGGACCGGGCCCACTAACTCACGGTCCCGAGCTAAACAGGTCGGGCTCGCAGTTCAAACAGGCTAAATGGGTCCAACGGCTATGTAAATTTATTTTATTATTATTTTTTAATTAAATACAACTTAGAGACAAAAAGATGTTAAAAAGACATCTATCACGACCCAAAATTCAAATAGCTGTGATGGCACCTAACCCAACCCGCTAGGTAAGCCAGTTAACAATAAACTTGTTCAAATGATATTTATTAAGAGAAGAAATGATAATACAACTGAGCTATTATACAAAGAATTCCCAAGGACTGGTAGTACAAGTCATGAGCTTCTAAGATTTAGAGCATACAAAGCTAGTATGAAATAAATGCATCATCTGTCTGAATGTACATAAACAGATTTTCATAAGTCTAGAGCTACCATGAACAAGAGGCAGATCTAACTGGAACGCAGGTACGTCTTCAATGCTAGCTTCCGTCATACACAGCAATATCAACATTCAAAATCTGCACGCAAGGTGCAGAAATGTAGTATGAGTACAACCGACCCTATGTACTCAATAAGTAACAAATCAACCCTAGGTTGAAAGTAGTGACAAACTGGAACGGAGGTTGGAGCCCAACACCAATAGGCATCAACAGTTCATAACAAAATAATAATAATGGTACAAGAAACATACTCAGATATAAGATGCTCAACTCGTTCACAGTTCCGAAAAAAATAGGCATGCTTTTCAAGTATATCAGTGAAAATCCAATTCTTTTACCGTAATCACCAAATATATGTCACGGCCCGGAATCCCCACCATCGGGACCGTGATGGCATCTAACATCACACTTGCTAGGCAAGCCAACGTTAGAGTTTTATTAGCCAATTCCTTTACGTTTCACTGATTAACAAATAGCACGCTAAACAAGTCGAAGTGAACGCGGAAGTAAATAAATAACCACTTTGATTATATACTATTAATAGCCAAAATCCGGAGTCACAACTTACGAATATTCTAAGATTTTACTACAAGTATTTATCTGAAAGAAAATACAACTATTTGCAAAATAAAGAAAACAGTAAAGTATGAGATATAGAAGGGGACGCTAGGGCTTGCGGACGCCAACATGTCTACCTTGGGTCTCATAGCTGATAAATCCTATAGCCAACCTCTCGATCAGCTCGAGCCAGCTCCAAAACCTGCACAGGATGTGCAGAGTGCAGTATCAGTACAACCGATCCCATGTACTGGTAAGTACCGAGCCTAACCTCGACGTAGGAGTGACGAGGCTACGGCGGGGCAATCACAATATAACCTGCACACAGTGTATAATAAAAGAAGAAAGAAAGACAAGATAAAATAGAGTAGTAACTTGCAAGACGTGAATACAGTTCTCGAAGCATATCATCAGTGTTCAGCTATTACCAATCCTTAAGTGCAATTTACGACTATCGTTCAGCTAACACAGTCAAGGAAAAGTATAAGCATATAGGTTGTTGCGACGTGCAACCCCGATCCCACCGTACATCTCATATTCCTCCCTTATTTCCCCTTATTAACATAAACAACATAGTATAAATAAAAGTGTTGTAGCGTGCAACCCGATCCCACCATATCACAATAATCACAACCACAGTTCACCCTTATTTCACCACAATCCACCCTTATTACACATGTTGCGGCGTGTAACCCGATCCTACCGTACATATCATTTCACCCTTATTTCTCCTCAATATATCACCCTTATTCCACCTGTTGTGGCGCGCAACCTGATCCCACCATATCGGTATCAGTTATTCAGCAAGTACAAAAATTTCACAATTCAAAGCACATAACCCTTCACAAGGCTCAACTTCAAATCAAAACAATTAGGAAGCCTATACACTATGAGACTTTACGCAAGTAATACTACTCAGTGAGATCAATCCAAATATGCCTTGAAAGTACCGATAACCAGCTTAAGCAAATAATAGGAGACAACGAAGCTACTAAATAACTAATACTTTCAACAAAGAGAAACAATGTCTATCAAGTAGCAATTAAGCATGGGAATACAAGTAAAGCATGTAGCAGTTAAGTCAGGAAAAAGACAATATAAGAGGAACGGGAAGGAAACAGGCAAAAATAAATAAATTGGCGGCGCATAAGTACTCGTCACCTCACATATACGCCGCTCACATGGATTTCATATAGCAAATAAGTCCAGGGTTCCTAATCCCTCGAGTCAAAGTTAGACACGATACTTACCTCGCTCCACGGGCCACTCAATGCTCAATTACCACTTTTCCTCTAGTATCCACCTCCAAACCACTCGTATCTAGCCACAATTAACTCGATAACATCAATTATTTCTAAAGGAATCAACTACAATGCATAAATTTAGATTTCTCAAACTTTCCCCCAAAAAGTCAAAAATCGACCCCGGCCCCGCTTAGTCAAAACCCGAGGTTCGAACCAAAATCTATTTACACATTCACCCCGAGCCCGGATATATAATTGATTTTGGAATCCGGCCTCAATTCGAGGTCTAAATCCCCAATTTGCAAAAACCCCCAAATTTTCCTAAATCCCTAGTTTTCTACCATGAAAGAACAAAGATTAGGGCTAGGAATTCAATAGGTGATGTTAGAAATTGAAGAAAATGAGTTAAAGAGTACAAACCTATGAATTGGTGTTGAGTTTTCCCTTCAAAATCGCACCTACGCCGAGCTCTAATGGAGAGTTTATGAAAAATGGGTGTCCCGTTTTTGAAATGTTTTAAGGTCTGAGCGTCAAACATTCTTCACGTTCGCGAAGGGCCTGCCGCGTGCAGCAGCCCAAATGGCTTTCGATTTCGCGAGTCCTCTTTCGCGTTCGCGAAGGCTGCTCCCCCCGGTCTTCGCTTTCGCGAGCCAGTGCTCGCGTTCGTGTAGAGGGACGAGTGTCCCCTCTCCCAGGTCCCATATGCTTCGCGTTCGCGTTGAGCTGGTCACGTTCGCGAAGGATAAGGCCCACATCGCTCTGCGTTCGCGGCCAAGCCTTCGCGTTCATGAAGAAGAAAAACCTAGCCCTCCCAGTTTCTACTTCGCGTTCCTGAGAGTGCCTTCGCGAACGCAAAGAAAGAAACCAGAAGGCACTTGAAATAGCAGAAAAACCAGATTTTCTAAGTCCAAAACATCCCATAGCCTATTCGAAACTCACCCGAGCTCCCGGGGCTCCAAACCAAACATGCACACAAGTCCTAAAACATCATACGAACTTGCTCGCGCGATCAAATCGCCAACATAACACCTAGAACTAAGAATTGAACACCAAACTGATTGAAATTTTCTAGAAAGCTTTAAAACTTTTAACTTCCCAACCGGAAGTCCGAATCACGTCAAACCAATTCCGTTTATCACCAAATTTTTTAGATAAGTTATAGATATTATATTGGACTTGTACCGGGCTCCGAAACCAAAA